GTGCAGCCCGAGGCCAGACCACAGCCGGGGGATGGAGGGAGTGTGCTTAATTTTAGAAACACGGACCCTCATGGCTCAGCGCACGTAGGCGGTGCCTGGCAGGCGTGTGGTGTCGCTCCCCGTCTTCATGGGGGAACGACACTAAACCCTGCCTAGGCTTCATATCCGAGTCACGGCACCATTATGTCGCTCCCCCTCTTCGTGGAGGAACGACACAGGACCCTGCGCTGTTCTTTCGTCTGCTCGGCCCTCCCCGGGTTTGCTGCTGGTTCTTCCCGGGTTGGCTACTGTCCCTTCCACCTCCGTGGAAGGGCGGTTCCCCCTGGCCACTTTCCCCACTTCCGCAGGGGAGCGGCACACCGCCGGCCGGCTCTCTGGGGGCTGCACAGGTGTTCCTTCAGATAGATGTTCCCCATAGATGTTCCCGGTGCATGCCGTCTCTCTCCTCCTCTATAGTCCTCCTCCGCCAATCCCAACTCGGCTGCCCACATGCCGAGTACGCCGCTCTCCAATCAGGAGCAAGTCCTACAGTTTATTGGTTGAACTGGAGGCAGCTGTGCGGAAGCTGTTTACTTCTCTCCCAGCGCCATATTGTGGGAGAGCAGATGCATAGAATAAGTCTTAATTCCAGTAACTCAGTCCAGTCCGGGCTGCTCCCCACATGTGGGCAAGTTGGCATCCCCGCAGCTTCTGACGAGCGCCCTCTGGAGTCACCGTGGATATACACGATGGGGAGGGGGCCTGAACGTGCCGTCCACCAACCCCCTTAGTCTCGCCGCCAAGGGGATCACAGTTCTTTCCACTCTGCAGCCAGGCAACACCCGGGGTCCAGAGTGCCCTACTCAGCGCTCCCAACTTGTAAACCCTACAGTTAGCAGGTGCGCTCCACGCACCACTGAATCTTGGGACACACACATAGCTCTGGCCCTGGGGAGTCGCTGCACACGGGGGGCTGTCTGCATCACAGACGCCAGGGCCTGCTGCTGAGGATAGGATAGGAGCGAGCAGGAAGCGACTCCCAGGCAGGGCTCAGTGCGTGTACCTTTGTACACAGGGACAGGGCCCAGGGACCCAGGAGTCCTTGCTTCTTCCTTGTTCTCGACGCCCCCTGGGCTCACAGAATGACAGGAGCCTAACACCCATGGCATATGATGGGATCAGGGAAGACCGCCTGTTGCTGCCCCCTGGTGGGCTACCCTGGCCCTGGGGCACCCCACGTGGGTCTTTGCTGTGTTCCTCTGCCCTCCGGTCTGTGCTGCAGGCACACCCAGGGTTGGCCAAGAGATGCCTGGGGACAAGGGGGGACAGCTAGAGTTGTCAGGTAGGAAAGAGATCAAAGGAGAGGCAGGCCCCTGCAGTCCCTGGCCCACCCCAGGCCAGGGCCCAGTCTGTTACCGCAGCATTACTGTGGGCAGCTCCAGGGTCGGTCAAGGCCTTCCTCCACGTTTCTAAGTCCCTTATCCCAGATCTCCCCTTCCTGGCCCCTCAGAATGAAGGCTCCCACTTGACCCTGCAGCCCTGGGTGTGGCCACTTAGCTGGGCCAGTGCAGGGGAAGGGAAGGAGCCAAAAGGGGGTTCCAGCCCCGGACGGATCAGCAGAGCAGGAGGGGACTTAAGGGTCACCCACTGTGGCCCATCATTCTCCAGAGCAGCCCAAGGCCCGGCGAGAAGGGACCTGGCCAGTCACCCAGGCAGGGCCAGTGCCTGGCCTCCTGCCCCCCGCCCCCCAGCCCTCCTCCCCACCCCTCTCGGCACCCTGTCCTTTCCTACTCCTCTGTAGCACCTGGCTCAGGGGCCTTCCGAGAGCACCCATGGGAGGGTGGCAGCTCCTGGAAGGCCTGCCCTTGGTGAAGGCACAGGCATTGTTGCTCATGTCACACCGAGGCAGATGGACGTGCTGACCCCAGGAGGCTCCCCCAGGCTGCTCTCCTCTCCGCCTCCCCCAGCTGCTCTGGGACCCCAGCACCTGCCACGCCCCTCCCACGGCACCCCGCCCTGCTCCCTGCGTCGTCTGGAAGCCGGAGGCATCAGCAGCTCCCTCTGATTGATCTCCCCCATCCCCACTCCAGGTTGTCATCAATCCCAACTACGAGGTCTCCGAGTCTGATTACTCCAACAACATCATGAAGTGCAGGTGCCGCTACGATGGCCACCGCATCTGGATGTACAACTGTCACATCGGTAAGGCCCCCACCCTGCAGGAGACGGGCGGGAGCAGCCCTGCTTCCCCACTCGGGAGGGAGCCCAGGTCTTCACCAGCCGGCTGTGGCCAGCGAGTTCGGAACCCCAAGCTGCCTAACGGCTGGAGCTGATGCCACCACCGACTCAGGCCGTGGTCTCGGCAGCCGTGGGCTCTGCGTGTCAGGGTTCCTCTGTCCAGAGCTGGAGGCTGGTGACTCCTGCTCTCTGCTTAAAGACCCTCTCCCCTGGGGCCGTGTGACTTGGGAAATGTGTGGCAGCTTCCGGTCATTATAAAGGGGGAGAGGTTCCTTCTGGCTGGCAACTGTGCAGGTTCACAGCACACGTTCAGGAGTGGCCTCCGGTGATGGTGTTCCCGCCCACAGAGCCCAGGGGAGGCACAGAGCATCCCGTGTACGTGTGTCTCCATGTCTGGGTCTCTTAACAAAGGTCAAGAGGGCTCACGGGGAGTCCCAAGGCCCCACCTCTAATCACAACCAAATGAGGTGTCTGCTCTCTCGGCTCCGCCAGCATGGGACCCTGGCTGGGGTTTAACCTCCCGTGTGAATTCTGGGGTGGGGACGCGTGGTGTTTAAACCAAACCATAGCAGGGCACAAAGGGAAAGCAGTTTGCTCCTCTGCAGGACAAGTGCACCCCCTGCCCCCCATGAAGGTACAAAGGAGTCACCCACTCACTGAGCTGTTAACAGAGCACCTGCTCTGTGCCTGGCCTGGAGATGGCCGACGGCCAGCTCCTGCCCTCCCAGAGAGACTGCTGAGGTCAAGTCCTCGGGCAGGGGCTGAGCGTCTCATGGTCCCCCCTTGTCCCCCCGCCCCTTCTGCAGGCGGCTCCTTCAGCGATGAGACAGAACAGAAGTTTGAGCACTTCAGTGGACTGCTTAACAACCAGCTCTCCACGCAGTGAGGAGCCGCCTCGCGGCCGCCTCTGTCTTTGGGCCACACCACACCTTCCTGTGACTCCCCCCACGCCCCCAGGGACAGAGTCGGCCCGATGGCCACATCCTCGTCCCCCAGAGCCCCCAGCCGTCCAGACCCCTGCAGCGTGTCCCAGCTCAGGAAGAAGGGGACGCTCCCGTCATTCTCCAGGTGCTGCTGTCTGACCTATGTATTCAAAGGCCTCCAGGGCTGGGACCCACCCACAAGGCTGTGCGAACTGAGAGCCAGCGTTGCCCACGCCGCCAGGCGCACGCCCGGCTGTTCACAGTGGGTCCCATCCACACCACGGCCCACCGGAGGCCTGCCGTGGCCCAGCCCTCCACAGAAGACCTGGGCCGCTTTCTTCTCAAGGTGCACGTGGGTGAACATGACCCCACAAGTGGTCAGGCTGAATCCCGTTCCTCCCCCTCTTTGGTCGTTTCCAGCAAACTTGAATATCTAAACCTCTATTCCAACTTAACCAACTGCCTCTACTCTAGTCTACAAATAGGATCGCCCCCTTGTCCACGAGAGACCGTTCCTAGGCCCCTAGAGGATGCCTGAAGCCACGTACGGTACTGAACCGTGGGTACACTCTGTGTCTTCCGGTATACTCACCTAGGATAAAGTTTATTTAGGCACAGGAGGGGATTAGTAGCCGGTAGCAGTAAGACAGAACTGTAACGATATATTGTAATAAAAATTATGTGAAAGTCGTCTCTCTTTCCAAATACTTCTGTCCTTTCATCTCTTCACTTGGAGGATGAACTTGATGGCTCGCCTTGGGCATAGCCAGGAGTATCACTGCTCCGGCTCTGGGGCCACAGTTAAGTAAAAGCAGGGTTACTTGGACACAAGCACTGCAATCCCATAATAGCACTCAGTGGCAACTGAGACATGGCCTCTATATGCCTAACGGGCAGGTAGTGTATACAGCATGGATACACTGGACGAAAGGATGACTGACATCCAGGTTGGACAGAGCGGAACAGTGACAGCTTCCACCATGCTGCTCAAGAGGGTGTGCAACTTACAACTTATGAATTTCTTACTTCTGGAACTTTCCATGTCATTGTCAAGCTGTAGGTAATAAACCACAGAAAAGGAACCCATGGATGGGAGACCACTGTATGTATGTTCTCTGATTAACTCAGAGTTGGAGCCTCTCTCCCCACCTTATTTTTCCAAGATACTATTGTTACGTTTCCACAGCCTTTAGTAGCATTTAGTATCGAGCATCCAAGGACTGGCATAGTGGCGCAGTGGGTCAAGCCGCCACCTCTAATGCCGGCATCCCATATGAGTACCAGTTCAAACCCCAGCCACTCCACTTCCAATCCAGCTTCCTACTAACTTGCCTGGGAAGGCAGAAGATGGCCCAAGCACTTGGGCCCCTGCCACCCACATGGGAGGCCCAGATGGAGTTTCAGGCTCCTGGCTTTGGCCTGGTCCAGCCCTGGCCATTTGGGAGGTGAACTAGCAGGTGGAAGATCTGCCTCTCCCTCTTTCTTAACTCTACCTTTCAAATGAATAAATCTTTAGAAAAATATATCAAGCATCTGGGCCTTTGGTAGTACCCATCCACAAAAAGTAAGCCCACCTTTGCCAGCAACCAATCCTGCTGTCCCAGTTCCAGGAGTTACTGATCCAACCGTGCTACAGGTCCTGGGCCACAAGGACCCTTAGCAAGCCCATGTGTCATCACAGACATCTACACACACTGGAAACTAGGCCTTGAAGACACAACACACACGGGTGTGTCAGCCCTGCCCTGGCCCTGAGCAGCAGGCTCCCGCCTTCAGTGCCACAGAGGAGCTTCCGGTGGGCCCAGCGCCCAGCATGGCCTCCCCTCCCGCCCTCTGAGATCACAGAAATCAACACACGAGTCACCTTCTTCACTCCTCTTGTTTTTTACTAAAACTTGTCAGGGGGCATCATCACGTTAGGCCCAGGCGGGACAGCCAGGTTTCAACAGTCCCAAGGCCGCTTCCCAAAGGGCCCGGGTGTGCTTCGGCAGAGGCTGAGCCGCTGGCCTCTGTCCAGGCTCCCTCTGCATCAGGAATGTGCCAGGGTCCAGCGCGTCAAGAGTCCCCAAGCCCCATGCAGGGCCACCCTGGCACCCACTCCACCCAGACCAGAAGAGAAGGGTGCAGGGCCCACCCTCAGGATGGCTCCATACCTGCTCCCACAAGGGGCGCAGACTGGGCACACATTCAGACCTGCCCTCCTGTGTCGTTCACGCTGACTTCTGTGACCTGCCTCCCCAGGCAGCAGGGGACCAGCCCAAAGCCTTGGGACCCTCGGCAGCACCAGGCCACTGGCCAGGTCGCACAGTACAGGCCACAGGCCATGTCACAGAGCAGGGGCAAGCACCCCCGAACTGCGCAGACTGTACAGGGCCCAGGGGGAGCCTCTGGGCCGCCAGGGAACCTCTGCAGCTGCCACGGGACCCACGTGGATCCCAGCACCATCAGCGCATACCGAAGCTGTCACAGCGGAACACTATTTATTCTGGCTCAAGCTCTGGGACCAGACCACAGTGAGGCCCTTGTGCCCAGGGGATCCGGACAGTGTGGGCTATCCTGGTGTCTGGAAAGGCTGTGACGTTGGGCCCGGCTCAGTCCTGGGGCACAGTCCGCGGAGTGGCAGGGGACTCTGGGCCGCGGGCTGCAGGCCGCTCCTTCTTTCTGTGTTTCAGCCCCAGGGCCCGGGCCACCAGCCTTCGGGCCACAGCTGCGTCCGTCTGTGGCCTCTCCTTCGCCAGACGCAGGAGCTCTGCAAGGAAGACCCGGAGGGGCACTTGCACACAGGCCGTGGCTGCCTCGCCACCCAGAGACAGCAGCCTGTGAGCCACCCGAGCCAACCACCAGCTCCGCCTCAGGGTGGCCACAGGCAGTGGCCAGGGGCCACTTGGGGCTCTCGGCCACCACAAACCCAGCTCCCCATGGGATCCTGGCCAGTCGGCTCTCAGCACATCTGCTCTCTGTCTGGGGTTAACTCTGCCCCTCCCTGCTTTGCAGGGCCCCTAGGAGGGAATCCAGCCAGGGCGGGACACCCAGGGCTCATGGACCTAGAGACAGTATTTGCTGTCCCCAAGGGGCCCAGGGCAAAGGCCACACAGCGACCCGCGAGCACAGGCAGCCTCGTGGGCCCCTGCGGGGCCTGCTTTGCCGCTACCATTCTGCAGTCATGGAAAAATGACCTCTACAAGCCCCCGCATGCTTCCTGGAAGAGGGAGGGGAGGAGTAACACTTATTTGGCACCTTCTGTGTGCCCCCCACTGCCCCAGGCAGGTCAGTCTCCCTTTCCTTCAACCCCTAATTGACCCCAGATCCCCCCACACACACTCGTTTTACAGAGAAAGCAAGCCAATTACAAGCTAAGTGACTTGCTCAAGGTCAACCCCAGTAAGAGACAGAGTCAGAGCGCCACCCAGGGCTGAACCCAAGCCCAAGCTCCTCCCACCCCTGCAGGAGAGGGAGCCCAGGCAGCCACCAGGCTGGCCGGGCTCCTGCCCCGGGCACCGGGGGCCCTGTGTGGAGGGGAGCCCTGCTCCCCTGGACCCTCAAGAGCAGGAAGTCCAAGAGGGTCCTGCACCCGCGCCGCCGGGCCAGCGCCACCCACGTCCTTACTGGGCCTCTGCAGCGCTCGCAACTTTGCCTGCTTGCTGCCCTGAGTCAGCGGCCGGATCTTCAGCACCGAGAACTCCCTGGCCAGGGCTTCCGCAGCTGTGGAGGGAAGCGAGCTCGGGAGTCGTCCGTCCTCTCCTCCTCCCCCTCCTCCCCCTCAGTGACACCCCTCAGGACCCAGGCTTCTTGCCGCCAGCACTCGCTGGAGCTCAGGGCGGGGCTGAGATGACTCGTGTCCCCCACCCCAGGAACTTGCATTACTGTCCCCACCGTCACTCACTCAGCCCCTCAGCACCTGGGCTAGGGCAGTGAGCACAGCACAGCACAGCTGGGGGGGGGGGGGGCACGGTTCAGACCCTCACCACCAGCCATCGTGTAGACAGGGAAACTGAGGCCAGGGCGTGACCTGCTCAGCCACAAAGTGGGCAGAGCCCAGGAGAGCGCCACGGCCACTCCCAGCCAGAGCTCGTCCCTTGCATGGCGCCAGGTGGCCTCGTGGCCTTCCCTCCCTGCCCACCCTCGGGACATCTCTGGGGCTTGAGCCCCTGCTGATCCTCAGGCCCCTGAGGACTGGACCCACACCAGCGCCAGCGGCTCCCAGCCCTGGCGTGCAGAGGGCCATGGCGAGGGAGCCCAGCCAAGGGCTCGCGTCCTTGTTTATAAATGCACCCAACATGCGCAGACGGGGGCCGGGGCAGCGCAGGGAAGCGGCCGAGAGGGATGGAGAGCACTGGGTCCAGGCAAGAGGCTGCGTGGCGCCCCTGCCTTGAGTCGGAGAGGCTCTGTGGCCTGGAGTGGACCCCGAGGTCCCGGGCACCTCGGTCCCCCCATCTGTAAATGGAGATGACCCGCCCCGTGTCCTGAGGCCAAGTGGACCACTGTGAGACGGCCACTGCTTGGACGCCCGACCCTCTGCACAGCCAGCACTCGCCTGCGGTTTGCCCGCCTGCGGCACGAGCTCCTGAACCGTCAGGGTACCCTGACCCTTCCACACAGCAGGAAGGCTGAGGACACCGCCGCGCTCCCGAGGCCGGGGCCTGCCCAGCAGCCCTCACGTCGGCCGAGGGAGCGGAGCCTGCTGCTCCAAGGACTGACGGCTCCCTGCCCCCGGGGTTCCAGCGCTCCTCCCGCTCAACGGTGGCCAGAGCAGGGGCCGAGGCCCCCGTGCCCCGTCCTCACGCCAGCCTTACCTGAGGCCACGCAGGGAAAGATGCCGAGCGCGTGAGTGTCGTCCACCCACTGAATCTTGAACCCCTTCTCCCTGCGGGGGGGGTGGGGGGAGGAGGCAGCAGGGGTCACGAAGGCCAACGGCCAACACCCTTTCCCCTGAAACCGCACGACCAGGTCCCACCCAGCTCCAAGCCTCAAACACTACAAGTGCGAGGCAGGGCTGGGAAGGGGACACCAGGTGCGCCCACACAAAGACCCCGAGGTCAGCATCAGAGTGCCCCAGCCACGCCCCCGGTGTCTGCAAATGAAGCAGCAGGACCCACAGGGCGCGCGTGGCACTGGGCCAAAGCTGAGGGCGGCTCCTCCCAGGCACTGCCACGGCCGGGCCCCAGTGGCTTATGGGAATGAACAGGGACAGAACCTAACATAAACGTATCCAGGACACAACTCCTGGCCAACGCCCTCCCTAGAGCTCAGGAAGGCCCCCTGACGCTGTGCCTGTGCGACGCCGAGAGCAATCATGGGCTGCCCAGCTCCCTGGAGGCCTTGTCACCAGGGCCAGGGCAGTCAGCGCCGGCTCGGGTTCAGGGTAGCCACGCCATCATGGGCAGAGAGTGGCAGAGCAGACACGGCGGCCTCAGCGCCTCTTCAACCTTCCTCCAGCTCGGGCTCGGGCTGCACCGGGGAGGTCACGTGGGGTCAGAGTCAGACAGGAAGGCCGGGCAGAAAAGGGGAATTTGGGGAAAGACCAGGAGAAGCAGAGAAAGGAAAACGAGAATAAAAGGAGGAAAGACAGAAGGCTGGATCCCAAGGGATCTGGGGGAACCGGGATGGGCAGGCGTGTCTATCAATCCACACTTCTGGCTCCCTCCCGCCCTCGACTCCGCCCGGCTTGACCCATCCGGCAGAGCTGCACGCAACGGAGCCCCAGTCTGCTGCTGAGCCCTGGGTCCAATGGCCTGGCGGTGGGGTCATGGAGGTGAGTGGGCTCCATGAACTAACGGAAAGGCTCAGGGGCCAATGGGCGGGGGTGTGTGTGCAGAGGCACCGGCCCAAGACACACCTACAACCGAACCAGCCGGGAGCACAGGGCCCAGGCCACACGCCCACTTTCCACCTCCCTTTTCAGAGCGGTAGGTATTAGGGAGGAGCAAGCCGGCGTCCATGACCGAGCCATGTCCCACCTCCTCCGGCCCCCGCCCCCGCCACACTCACTGGAACTCAGAAAACGTGGCCAGCAGGTCCTCCGTCTTGAGCGCAGGTTCAAAGTCATAGATCTCCACCACGTGGGCCAAGTCCTGCTCCGCAGGCAGCTCCTCGGCGAAGGGGGACGTGTCCACACGGACCCTCTCCACCTGGATCTCCTTCTCGGTCAGGTGCTCCGTTATCTGGGAGAGAACAGACCCTTTGGCCCGGGGAGCACCGACACGCAGGCTCCCCAGGAACCGGCTTCTAAACACAATCCCCGCGTTGTGCCAAGGGGCACGCGGCCGGCTGGCGGGACAGGCCGGGAACCCTGCATCCCAGGGACGGGAGCCTGCTCTGATGGAGTCCCTGTGGGCAGGTGACCGCTCCTTCCTGGCCACTTTTTCTTAGGATCCCGAGATGCGCACTCCGTATACCCACTTTACAGATGGCGTGGTTTGCCCAAAGCTGCCAAGCCAGTGAGAGCCAGCCGGGCAAGTCCGGGATATCTCCCTCCCTGATGAGCACTTGACATTAAGCAAGTCTTTCTGGTCTCCGCTCCTGGCGTATAGAACAGCGACAACAGACGCCCACGCCGCCAGCTGAGCCCACAGCCAGCTGCAGGGGTCAGACACCTGGCTCCAAGGAAGCGAGCTCTGCAGGGCAGAGCCACTGCTGGGACCGACAAAGCCTTCTGTCCTGGCGACCCGCGGAGCAGGCACCGTCACCCGTCTCTTCCCAGGAGGCGAAGGACTGGCCCAGGGTCGACCAGCTGCCGAGGGCTGGGCTGGGACCCCATGCGCGCCTCCTCCTGGACACTTGCCCGGGGACCCTCAGGCGCCACTCCCAGGCCTGGGCCACCTGCCACAGCCCCCTCAGCCCCACCCTCTCCTCCCTCCTCACCTCCTGCAGCAGCTCGCTGTAACCATCCTCAGCTTCGGAGCAGCTGCCAGCCTCCTCCTCCTCCTCCGCCTCCTCCGCCTCCTCCTCCTCGGCCGCTAGGCTCTGCCCTAGCGAACCTCGCTCCTCCTCCTCCTCCTCCGCCGCCGCCGCCGCCGCCGCCGCCGCCGCCGCCAGGCTCAGCCCTAGTGGACCTCGCTCCTCCTCCTCCTCCAGCGCTGGCTGCAGGCTGCCCCCAGGCTGTGTGGCCGTCTCCACCCTGTCCCCCTCCCCCCGGGGGCTCTCCGGCCCTGGCGGTGTGGTGCCAACGGGCTCCGGCAGGGACCCATTCTCGCGACACTGGCCTGGGTCCTCCGTTCCCTGAGTGGTCAACACAGGAGGTTCCTCATCAGAGGGATTGGCGGCGACAGCTCCAGGCTCTTCTGAGACCCCAGGGCCTGGCGCTTCTCCCTCTTGTCTGCGTAGCACCCGAGGAACGTACAGAGGCTGGTCTGGCTTGCGTCCGCGATGCCATCGGCCCTGCCGCCCGCCTCGGGGGCCCGCAGCTGCTCCCTGCTTCGCAGAGAGCCGAGGGCCGCGGTACTTGCCAGGGTGGGTGGCGGGAGGGCGGCTGGGACCAGACGGGCCATCGGCACTGGGCACCCTGGAGCAGGAGCAGATGCAGATGGTCAGTGTGCGTATGGTTTCCCAGTGCACTCCTTCTACTTAGAGACGCGAGCTGGCTGGGAAACAGGGGGCCACGCCACTCAGCAGCCCCCCCACCACGTTCACCACGGCTCCCCACGACACCAAGAGGCTGTGGCAGGGGCCGACCCGCCATCTGCATTTGCGTGTGTCACTCTAGGGCACTGCACAAGGATGAGGTCACCCCACAAGCCTCAGACCCGAAACCCACCAGGTGAGCCATGCACAGCTGCCACTCGGGAACAGTTCCTGCTCACCCAAAGCACTGACCGAAGAGGCAGCAGCCTAGGAGACCCTGGCCCTGGCCTCTGCTCTCAGGGTGGACCAGTTGGCCCGAGGACCCACTGCGGGCCCTTTCAGGCAGTGGGATATGCACCTGATGTCCAGGTGACAGATGACCGTCCTCCTCCTCCAGCCCTCGCCGACAGAAAAGCTACTCAAGAGATCAAAGCTCTCCGTGGTCCTGTGGATCAGGTACCTGAGGCGACTGGAGAGTGCTGGGAAAAGCAGGACCCTGGGAAGGGACCGGAAGCAGCTGAGAGGAGCTCCAGGTGCAGCCCCGGGGCCTGACTCTGCTGCCGGGTCCACTCCCAGGCTAACCTCCTTGCCCCACTGGGCTCACAGGGAGCCCCCACCCCACCCCACCCCGGCCCCATCCCATCCCGGGTGGCGTTCAGAATCACCGAACGGACACCGCGGGAAGGGGCCGTCGGCGCCACGTGTCAGGCCCGAAGGCCAAGGCCGGGGGCGCCCCGGGCCAGGGGCAGGGGCACGCGTGGCTCCAGGGACCCCCCGCCCCCACCACCACCACCGCCCCAGCTTACTTCGACAGCTGCTTCTGCAGCACGAAGCGCGCCAGTTCCTCCTGGATCCCGCGCACAAAGTCATTCTCGGCCGAGGAGAGGGAGACGCCGTCCAAGCAGAGCAGGGCCAGGGTGGCAGGTGGGGCAGCCTGGGGGGGCAAGGCCGGGGCCGGGGTCAGGGCACCGACGCTGGGCCCCGGCCGCCTCCCTCGGCCCCGGGGCTCCCACCGCGCCCAGGGACTCACGCCACTGGCCCCCCGCGCGGCGCTCGTTCCCTCCAGGCGCCCGGGAACCGCGGAGCCGGGATCCACACCCGCCGCACTCACCGCAGCAGCGTTCGGAAGACCCCAGAAGCCTCCGCGCGCCGGGCCGCCCGCGAGAGGCCGCGGCCTCGGCGGAGCTGCAGCGCCCCCGCGCGGCTCGGGGGAGATACCGCGGGAGAGAGGGGCGGGGCCGGAGCCCGCGCACCTGCCGCCCACCGCCTCTCTCCTGGCTACAGGGCCCGCGGTTCTATTTCCGGGAGAATTGAGACCCAGGAGGGCCAAATAACTGCATGGAGGGTGGAGTCTTGCTTTGAGCAAAGCTGGGTCTGAATCTAAATCCTTTCCCCACGACAGCCCGCTGTCATCTGAGATCAATGAAATTGCGCAAACCCCAGCTATATGCCAGGCGGTGGCACTAGACTTCCGAGTTTTAGGTTTCCCTCCCCAGGGACCTAGTAAGGCGCAAGAGGAAGTTCCTGCCCACCAAGTATTCTGGCTCTTCTCCCTATCACTTTCTTTCCTTCACTTTGGGAACCTGCAGGGGTCTAATTCACTTTCAGGATGACCCACAGAAATGCCCTAACCTTGTGAGCATCTGTGATGGACAGCGACCAGCCTGGTGGCTTGCACGTCCTCGGCTTGCACTACCCTGCTCCCTCCAGAAATAACACCTGCAACCTGCCTCAAGGGTGGCCTAAAATCCTTGCCCTCGACAACCTGTGGGATGGGCTCATCTAAGAGAGCAGGGTTAAAACCTTCCTGTGCCCAGCCTCCAAAACTCTGGTTAAGACACTCGTGTCCAAGATTGGGCAGCCTGGGTTCGACACCCAGCTCCAGCTCCTGCTGATACAGACCCGGAGGAGGGGTCAAAGGGTTGGGTCCCCATCACTCAAGTGGGAGACCTGGATTGAGTTTCTAGCTCCTAGTTTCAATGCAGGCAAGTCCTGGCTGTTGCAGGCATTAGGGGAGTGAACCAGGGACTGGGAACACAATCTCTCCACCTACCTCTCCCTTTTCAATGAATATTTTTAAAGATTATTTATTATTTTGAAAGTCAGGGTTAGAGAGAGAGAGGGAGAGATAGAAATCTATTTGCTGGTTCACTTCCCGGTGGCTGCAATGGTTGGGGCTGCACCAGACTGAAGCCAGGAGCTTCTTCTGGGTCTCCCATGTGGGTGCAGGGTCCCCAGCACGTGGGCCACCTTCCACTGCCTTTCCCAGGCCATTAGCAGGGAGCTGGATGGGAAGTGGAGCAGCTGGGACTGGACCCAGTGCCCATACAGCCTCATGGTGGACCGGCTTTCCCTGCTGCGCCACGATGCCGACCTCATAAATTCGTCAGCCCGAATCCGGACGCCAAGAGTGGCCAGAGCAGAGCAGGCCCTTGAGCTAAAAGCACTGGAGACCCAGGTTTTGGCACCCAGGAAGTCATAAATGACAGGCAGGATGCGGGCAGCACAGCTGTCCATGGAGCGCCCCCCCCCCCACATTCTTCCCAAAGTCACTTCTTTGGAAGATTATATTACACTCACAGAAACTGTCTTTCCAGCCACCTTGAGGAGAGGAGAGGAGAGAAGAGGAGAGGAGAGGAGAGGAGAGGAGAGGAGAGGAGAGGAGAGGGGACCCAATATAAAGACAACGCCCAAGTGCAGAGAGAAGCCACCTGGCTCCCCCGGGCATGATCAGGAGAGGAGACTGAAGACCCAGCAGACCCCTGCCCTGCCCTGGAGGGCATCCAGTGCCTGGGGCCAAGGCCCAGCAGCAGCCCGCATGTGGATTCCGCCCCCAGAACCCCCCCACACTCCATGCAGGCTCACTGAAAGTGGGAGCGGGCCACCCGCAGCACTGGCTATGGTACTGGGCTTCCCAGGCCAGAAGTTGGTGCCCGAAAGCCAAGCCCACCCAGCAGGGAGGGGCCGGATGGGACCTGCAACACAGGTCCGTGCTAGCTCACAAGACAAGGGCCCCCATTTCTCAGTCCCCCAGGTGGAGGACCAGACAACCCCCGGGAGAGAAGCCACATCCTCACCTCTGTAGAGCCAGCGGTGGACAGACTCAAGGAGGGGCTCCCCAGAAGCCGACCTCCCGGAGGGCAGCAGCCCCTGGCTCCCATCCCCACCACACCCTCTGCCGGCAGCTCGGAGGTGAGCAGGGGAACAGCGTGGGCATCCAGGCCTGGGGACCCCGGCGTCTAAGGGGAGAGGGGATGAAAGCAGAGCTCCCCGCACCCTCTGAGAGCAGAAGAGAGTGAGGCTTCAACGGTCCCCAATCAAAGGTGTGTAAACACAACAAAAAGCAGCACAAGGCGCAGCCCCGTGGCACACCAGGTGCAGCTGCTGTTTGCGACACCTGCATCCCATATCTGAGTGCCTTTTGAGTCCTGGCTCCTCCGCTTCTGATCCAGCTCCCTACTAATGCACCTGGGAAAGCAACAGACAGTGTCCCAAGAGCTTGGGCCCCTGCCACCCACCTGGGAGACCTGGATGGAGGTCTTGACTCCTGCCTTCCACCTGGTCCAGCCTCAACAGTTGTGGCCACTGGGGGAGTGAACCAGCGGATGGAAAATCTCTTTCTCTCTCTGTTTCTCCTCCTCTCCTTGGAACTCTGCCTTTCAAATAAATAAATATTTTCTAAAAAGCAACACTAAGGATAGGCAAGATTTTTTTAATAGCAAAAACTGAAGAAACAAGAGCGTAGCAACAAAAAGACACAGGGTAGGAGTGTCCTGGAAGAGTTTCCTAGGAAAACGACAGTGAAAAACTGCTTCACATTCCCAAGGAAGTAAAAACAGACTGGCTTCCATGCTCAATGGAGATAAACAGTGGCTGGGGATAAAGGGGAAATATCGGAGCCACGGGAGGTCATCAGGGAGACCGTCATGTTCATCCCGGAAGCAGCAAACAGAGTGGACGACGCTGGGGTGACGTGCAGTGAAGGCTGCCAGCGATGGAGAGCGCAACTGTTTACACAAAGCTGGCCGCACATCCGGCACTCCTGCAGCCTTCAGCAGCCCTGGGCTCCTACTGGAAGGGGACAGACAGACTCAGCACAGGGGCACCCAGCTACCAAAGGCACAGCCAGTGCTCAAGATCCTGATCCAGCCCGGCGCTGGAGACCAGAGGACAGCTCTGTCCTCAGAACAGCATTAGAAGGGACCCAACGCTGTGGCCAACACTCAGACACAGAGGAGAGAAACTCAAGAAATCAGGCAGATCCTACCAGTGAGACAGCAGCAGCCCAGGTACGTGCTACGGAGTTTGACCCAAAATGGGAGGTGTGATTGGATGACTTTGGGTGGACTTGGTCCATGATAGGATTAGTCGTTACTATAATGAAATACCCGAGGCAGGCTCATTTTATAAAGCCAAGAGGTGTATCTTGCTCTCAGTTCCAGGGGTTCAAGGGCTCGGCACCAGCAACGGCCTGGTTTTGGTGAAGACCTCGCGGCAGAGGGCACCACGACAGCAAGAATTGCAAAGGCTAAGGGGAGGCGATGACAGCTCCACACCGGAAGCTGGGCTGTGGAGGGGCACGTCTCATGAGACCGGCTCAGGGTCCCATGGGAGCTGCCGTCTTCCCTTCCGAGGGCATGACCCCAACGACCTCCCACTGGGAGCTGTTAACACAACTCAAGGCATACTAATGGGGTTGTAAACAGTTCCACCTGAAGGACGGCTCTGGCGCCTCCTGCTGTGGTGACTTTGAATAACACCCCAAAGCCCACTTCCTTGTCCCGGGCAGGATCACGGGTGCTATCTGTGCCCTCATTCTCAGCATGCGCTCTCTGTCCGAACAGGTGCTAATGGCACTGAATTGTCTGCCCAGTTACCTCAGCCTGCTTGAGACAGCAAACTGCTCTCTCCATGTTTGAGCGTCTTTCCATCCCAGGAAGGTTAAGTTTCAAAAAACACATCACATTCCTTGTGATGTGTGCACGGTTTTGGTGTATTAGAGAACCGAACCACATTAGGAGAGTGATTCCAATTTTAAAAGTAAAATGGGGGGGGGGTCGCTGTGGTGTAGCGGGTAAAGCCTCTGCCTGTGATGCTGGCATCCCATCTGAGCGCTGGTTCTAGTCCCAGCTGCTCCACTTCCAATCCAGCTCTAAGCTGTGGCCTGGGAAAGCAGTGAAAGACGACCCAAGTCCTTGGGCCCCTGCACCCACGTAGGAGATCCAAATAAGCTCCCGGCTCCTGGCTTCAGATCAGTGCAGCTCCTGCCTTTGCAGCTATCTGGGGAGTGAACCAGCGGATGGAAGACCTCTCTCTCTCTCTCTCTCTCTCTCTCTAACTCTGCTTTTCAAATAAATAAATAAATCTTTAAAAAAAGTAAAATGGGTCTCAGACCTATGATTTTTAAATGAGCAGGTGTAAGAGAATTTTACCAAGTTTGTAAATGGTATTAAAGAACAGGATATGTAATATTTTAAGGTCAATAAGAGTAATTCAGGTACAGTATATATGGTTTTGTCTCTTAGCTTGCCAGCTCATCTATGTGATATACAAATGTTTTAAAAAGAAAACTAGGACTTCTGCAAGAGGGAGCAAACGTACCTTCCTCTGTTCCACTAAGCACAACTAAAGTCGCTAAACATTGGTACAAAGCACACATAAAAAGGGAGAGAGCGACCAGTGAAGAACCTCAGGATCTAAGGGACAGTGAAGTAGGAAATTCTCTGGGTTTTCTTTGCGCCTCAAATCTCCAGCCTTGGAGCCAGAGGAGGCCAGAGATCCAAAAACATCAACGGACCCAGACCCAACACACATCTACACAAGGGAGCAGGAGGACAGCCCAGCGAGGCAGGAGATCTGGAAACATTCGCTGCTCTGTGCCAGCCAAACCCCATCTCCACTCACATGAGCAACAGCCCAGTGGTCACTCTCGCTTGGTTGTGTGATGTCACCAAGGTGATGTCACCGAATGCCAAACAGGCAGCTGGGATTTCCAGCCCCTGCAGGCAGCAATGAGACCTTCCCCCTGCGCTCAGTAGAGGCCCCTGGGGTACTGGGAACTCCACCTCCACTTGGAAGCAGAAGGCTCTTCTCTCTCCCCACTGGGAGGCTGATCGGACAGCAGTACTTTCAGTGTCAAGAGGTCACCTCACCCCCGTGGTGTCCGTGGAGGCTACACAAGGAAGAGCCACAAAGCACCTGCAGCCCTCCCAGCCAGCAAGGTGTCGGCGGCGGTCCTGGGGGGAGCCAGGACCCCCACCCCACAGTAACAAGGTGTCTCCCGCCTCAGATGTCCAAGCGAGCTGGAGGTGAACCGCAGCTGCCTTCCCCTGGTAGTAAGAAGGCACGGTTTCCCACCCCACTGCTGGAGTGGAGTCAGAAAAGATAAGTGAAAATGAAGCTTGGTGAAGAATGGGATGGGAGAGGGAGCGGGAGATGGGATGGTTGTGGCTGGGAGGGAGCTTATGGGGGGGAAAGCCACTGTAATCCAAAAGTTGTACTTTCAAAATTTATATTTAATAAATAAAAGTTTTAAAAAATAGGGCCATGAAAACAGGAAATGTCAGTAGGATTCAGAGTCTCAGCATACCTTAGATGCCGCAGAGTCAGTGGATAATAACTTATGATACCAGGAGCTTTCCAGTTCTCTCTAGACTCAAAGAAAAAAGACAATCAATAGTGTGAGCACTGACTCACCAGAAATGTTAAATTACTCAACAAAGATTTTAAAGTAGCCCTCACCATTGAATTTCTGAAAACGAATGACAAAATAAAATTTAAAGCAGCCAGAAAAAATTATACAACAACAACAAAAACCCACCTTACCTTACCTATAGGAGAAAGCTGATTAAAATGATCATGGATTTCTCAACAGATCAGGGAGAACAGAAAGAAATTGTGCATTTTTGAAGTGCCAAAGGAGAAGAACTGTTAATCTGGAATCTTCTATCCCATGGAAACATACTTCAGGAACGAAGAGGAGACCCAGGCACTCTCAGATGAAGGCAGACAGAGAATTTGTTGCCAGGAGACCTGGCCTAGCAGAACGTCTACCAGAAGTTCTCCAAATAGAATTGGAACAAGCACTGGAGTCTGAGGGCATCAGGGAGGAAGAAAGGGCACAGTGACTGCAGATACGGGTTCCTAGACTCCCTGATCTGGACTCCCCCCTCCCCCTGGATCTTAGAAATTATATTTGATGGTTGGAGCGGAAGTTATAATGCCAATTTGGTTCTCACTGTATGTAGAGAAAATATTTAAGGCAGTCACAAAAAGAGGAGTGCAAAATGATATAAAAAGAAGCAGCTTTTCTGTACTTTACTCAGTCTGACGAAATGACAACACCAGGACTGGAGCCCTGGCGTAGCAGGTAAAGCCGCCTCCTGCGGCGCTGGCATCCCATATGGGTGCCGGTTTGAGTCCTGGCTGCTCCACTTCCAATCCAGCCCTCTGCTGTGGCCTGGGAAAGCAGTGGAGGATGGCCCACGTCCTTGGACCCCCACATCCACATGGGAGATTCGAAAGAAGCTCCTGGCTCCTGGCTTTGGATCAGCACAGCTCCTGCCTTTGCAGCCATCTGGGGAGTGAACCAGTGGATGGAAGACCTCTCTCTTTTTCTGTCTCTCTGCCTCTGCCTTTCTGTAACTCTACCTTTCAAATAAAATAAATAAATCTTGAAGGAAAGGAAGGGAGGAAGGGAGGAAGGAAGGAAGAAATTAAAAGAGCCACAGGCCGGCGCCGCAGCTCACTAGGCTAATCCTCTGCCTAGCGGCGCCGGCACACCAGGTTCTAGTACCGGTTGGGGCGCCGGATTCTGTCCCGGTTGCCCCTCTTCCAGGCCAGCTCTCTCCGCAGCGGCCATTGGAGGGTGAACCAACGGCAAAGGAAGACCTTTCTCTCTGTCTCTCTGTCTCACTGTCCACTTTGCCTGTCAAATAAATAAATGAATAAATAAAAAAGAGCCACAATCATGGGAACATAAATTCTGCTAAAACTGAAGCTAAATCAAACTTCAGATCTATGGTGAAGCTCAGGCGGAAAAATGGCGAAATCACTGATGCTCTACACAAAGTTTATGGGACGATGCCCCTAAAGAAATCAGTAGTTGAAAATGGATTACTCATTTGAAGAAGGGACGAGGGTTGGGCGTTCGGCACAGCTGCTGAGTCACTACGTGGGATACCCATATCCCAATCTGAAGTGCCTGGGCTGAGTCCCTGCTACTCGGCTTCCAGTCCAGTTTCCTGCTACTGTGCCCCCTGGTAGGGAGTGGATGATGGCTCAAGCGCTTAGGTCTCTGTTACTCACGGGAGATCTGGACGGAGACCCAGGCTCCTGGCCTCATGCTGGCCAGGCCTGGCTATGGAGACACTGGGGGAGTGGAAAAGCTGATGGGAGTTCTTTCTCCCTCTCTCTTTCTCCTCCACCCTAAATAAAAGCTTTTTTTTAAGAAAAGAAGGGATGAAATGACGTTGAGCCGAAGATGAAACCCAGAGTGGCAGACTCTCCAGATTTTTGGAGGGAAGAAACAACCTCGTGTGTGCTCTAGTTGAAGGCGACCGAAGACAAACAGCACGAACAACAGCCAACACCACTTGCACCTCAGCTGGTTCGGCTGACAAAAGTCAGACTGAAAACCTCAAATGGAGCGAACGTCCTGCTTCACAGGTGCCCGGCCAGTGCCCTCCTGTCCACTGCAGACAAGAACGAGAACCTGCGAATGGAAGTTTGCACCAGTTCTGCATTTCACTGAAGAACTGCAACAGGAGGCGGAACATGGCTTTACCACTGTGCTCCTGAAGACAAGCACAGTCAAAGCCGTGGCTGCCAACAGGGGGAAGTGGTCTACTCACAGCAAAAACTGACCAGTCGGGCTGGCAGGGTGCGCGGCAGGTTAAACCACTGGCTGCGATGCCAGATCCCAAATCAGTGCACTGGTTCAAGTCCCAGCTGCTCCGCTTCCAATCCAGCTCCCTGCTAATGCTCCTGGGAAGGCAGCAGAAGAAGCCCACGTGCTTGAGACCCCACATCTATGTGGGAGACCCAGAGGGAGTTCCTGGCTCCTGGCTTCAGCCTTCATGGCTATTTGGGGCATGAACCAATGGATGGAAGATCTTTTTCTCTCTTTGCATCTCCCTCGATTTCTCTGCCTTTCAAATAAATAACATTATCTTTCAAAAAAAAAAAATCGGTCAAGAGCAAAGGTCATGCCAAAAGTTTTGGGGGGATGCTTAAAGAATTTTGCTTGTCAGCTTTCTGCAGGGCGAGAGAACAATAATATCCGCTTATCCGGAGTGTTTTTAGAGAAAGTTAGACAAAGACTTAGCAGAAAATCTCCCAGGAAGCTTCCCCAGAGTCCTTCTCCACCGTGACAACACTTCCGCTCGTGCCTCCCTCAGTCAAGGGCAGCTGTGTGGGAAAGTCTGAGAAATCACTAGGCACGCACCGTATCATCCTGATGTGGCCCCACCTGCTTCCTTCTGTCTCCTTAAGAAATCTTTAGGGAGCCGGTGTCTAGCCTCACAGTTAGGGAGCCTGCATCCCATGTGGTAGTGCCTGGCTTTGAGGCCTGGCTCTGGTTCCTGACTCTGGCTTCCTCTATGCAGACCCTGTGAGGCGGCAGGGATCACTCAAGTAGCTGGATTCTTGCCACCCTTGTGGGAGACCTGGATTGGGTTCCCAGCACCTGAGTCTGACTTCAGCCCCGCCTCAGTTTACGGGCATCTGGGGAGTAAATCAGAGGATGGGAGAGCTCCCTAATATAGATAGATGATAGATAGATACATACATACACACATACATAGGTACATAGATACATACATAGATCTTCCTCTTTCTAAGAAACTTTAAAATGCTTTTCAAGTCGTTAAAAATATACCCAATTTTCGGCCAGCACTGCGGCTCACTAGGCTAATCCTCCACCTGCGGCCCGGGCACCCCGGGTTCTAGTCCCAGTTGGGGCACCGGATCTGTCCCGGTTGCTCCTCTTCCAGTCCAGCTCTCTGCTGTGGCCCAGGAAGGCAGTGGAGGATGGCCCAAGTGCTTGGGCCCTGCACCCGCATGGGAGACCAGGAGGAAGCTCCTGGCTCCTGGCTTCGGACCGGCGCAGCTCACCAGCCATAGCAGCCACTTGGGGGGTGAACCAACGGTAAAGGAAGACCTTTCTCTCTGTTTCTCTCTGTCACTGTCGATAACTCTACCTGTCAAATAAAAAAAAATTTATAAACTGAAATGTAAAAATTAACAAAGACTAGGTATTCAAATGTGTTATTTTTTTATAAACTGATGTAAATTAAAATCTAAGCAAAATTTTTGTAAATAAAAGTCTGACATGAAAAACTCTACATGAAATTCAAAGAAAACACCAAAAAGATCAAAGCAGTTAAAGAAAAATATAAACCCAGAGGCCTACACTGAAAATGGAACACACGGATATTTAGTATACCTGAAGGCCATTTAACAAACTGAAATTATCACCATGATAGAAGGGGAGAGAAATAGCACCAGTCCTTCCGCAAGTAAAACAAAAGTATTTGTATGCAAAAATGACACAATCAGAACACATTCTAAGGACTGGAGGGAGGAGGCTTGCGGGGAGGGGGTTGGGTATGATTCTGGCCAAGCGGAAACATGCTATTTTTTTCTCAATCACTGGCAGAGCCTTTGTTAACAAAGAATTGCTGACAGTGTAGAATAAATCCCCTGGGTGAGCCCACAGAGGTTTTCAAGAAAAAAACGCAGCATAGGCGGCAGAATTGAATGAGGTACGGCAGCGAAACATCACAGCGCGTTCTCTGACAACTGCCAAGTTCATGTAAATGCAACAGTGGGGGATAGCACACGATGCTCACGAGAGAGACGCTGGGGAACGCAGCTTCAATCCAGGACAAGGCAAGCATCTCCACTAAGGCCTCCACCCTTTGTTAATTTTTTGTTTTTCTACAGGTACAAGCAAAAGCACACTGACAAAAGGAAGAAACACTGGAAAGCTCAGAAAGGTGATGCGATCGAATGGTCATTATTTGCAAAATATTTTTTCATTCAAAAACCCAAGGAAGTCAGCCTAGAAGCAAGCAAGCACTGTTTCCAGGAGTGAGGACCAACCGGGAGGCCCATGGGGAGGGATGAAGGGAGGGGCAGGAAGGGCAGGGAAGGGCAGGCTGCCCGGCCACAGCTAGGAAGGGAAAGCCTGGGGACCCGAGACTATGTGGAGGGTTAAGCAGCCACCTGCAGCGCCAGCATCCCATATGGGTGCAGGTTCCAGTCCCGGCTGCTCCACTTCCAATCCAGCTCCGTTAATGCTCCTGGGAAAGCAGCAGTAGATGGCCCAAGTGCTTGGGCCCCTGCCAGCCATATGGAGACCAGGATGGAGTTCTTGGCTCCTGGCTTTAGCCATAGAGGCCATCCAGGAGTGAATAGGTGGGTGGCTAGGGTGAAAGAACTCTCTCCTCTCTTTCTCTCTCTCCATCTCTGTCGCTTGGCCTTCCAAATAAAATAAAATAAAATAAAATAAAATAAAATAAAATAAAATATTTAAAGAAGAGTAGGAGGAGGAGAGAAAGATGGGAAAGGAGACGGGTGGGAGAGGTGGGACGGCCAGAGAGAGAAGGAATGAGAACCTCTGCCTCCTCCAAGTCCTGCTCTACCTGCGTGAGCTACCCCAGTGGAAGAGTGTTTTACTCACCCTCCAAATCTCAGAACCTTTTGGGGTCCCTCAGTTCCCTGGAGACCAGGAGCCTGCCTGGCAGAGTTCCAGCTCTTTCTTAAAGGGCCAGAGCAGTGGGAGCCCAGACTGGCTGAAGAGGGATCTCCCCGTGGGCTCAGCCTCTATGCTCCCGCCAGAGTCTGCTCATAGCAACACCACTTTGCAAATATGGGCACGGGACAGTTGCCCCTGGGTGTCCCCAGGGCTTGGTCCCAGAAGACTCTGCAGATGCTCAAGTCCCTTCTAGAAAAAGGCACAGTATTGCACGGGACCCCACACCCCCCGCCCTGTTCCCGTAATCATCTCCAGACTGCTTATGCCCGACACACTACAAATGCTATGTGAATAGTGGATACTCTGTGTTGTTTAGGGAAAAAAGGATAAGAAAAAGTCTGTATGTGCTCGGCAAAGATGTGATTTTTTAATCACATTTTGCATTTCAGATGCAGAGCCTATGCAAGCAGAGGTCCAACTGTACCTGCATACCCAGATTCCCAGTTCAGCCCCAACTGCCTGTCAGATCCTGTTATCCCCGTGGGATGGAATGGGATGGAGGAAAAGAAGTGTTGGAAATGAATAGTAGGGGCTGGCGTTGTGGCACAGCAGGTTCAGCCGTCACCTGGGACATCCACATCTCTATGAGCACTGGTTCTTGTCCCAGTTGCTGCACCTCCAATCCGGCTCCCTACTGATGCACCTGGGAAAGCAGCAGGCGATGGCCCAAGCGCTTGGGCCCCTGCCTCCACGTGGGAGACCCGGAAGGGGCTCCTGGCTCCTGGTTTCAGAGTTTTCCCCCTTCTCTGTAACTCTGCCTTTCAAATAAATAAATCTTTATTTATTTATCTTTTCAAATAAAAAATGAATATTTCACCTTTGTAATGCTATTGGAAGTGCCAATACTTAAAAGTTCAAAATTTGTGAAAAGCCATGATGCAAAACTGATCTCTATTAAAACAATGACAGCAGAGAAAGCAGTGAGAGTGTCCATGGCAGTGCGGGCAGCAGTCCCAGGTGTCATTGTCACTGATTGCTTTCTCTTTAGAGTCCTGCTCTTCTCACACAGAACTGTCCACAATACAGTGTGTGTGTGTGTGTGTGTAACATCAATGTGGTATTTTATAAGCTTTATCCCTGTATGTTTATATTCAAAGATGAAGTATTGAGTATTTCGGTGGCATAAATAAAATAATGTAGCCCATGGGATCCGATGATTTTTTAAACCCCTCCTTCATCCACACACCAACAATATTTTGGGGATGATCACACTGTAATCAGTAATAGTTATTAGTGTCTTCATTTGTTCCTTAGTTTCACAATGAACACTTTTATGAGAGAATACATTTCAATTCCACACGTTCCAATGAATGATTAAAGTATGTCGCACATAAACTAAAATATGCACTTACCAGATACCACATAGCTTGTTCCTCTTGCCACTTTGAGTTTTAGACACTAGTCATACTCCAAGTGGTCATACATACAACAAAACTATAGCAGCTCCTGCTCTGTTTCTTTAGTCTTTACAATTTCTACCTTATCCTGATGTATTTTGAATTTACTGTTTAAACATGAGAATATGTGTTAGCATAGAGATTGAAGATGTGCACCGCGCCCAAAATGAGTTTTTTAAATATTATTTTAAAGGTTTATTCGAAAGACAGAGTGACAAGGAGAAGAAGGGGGCACTCAGATTGAGAGAGACAGAAAGAGAGAGAGGAGTTTTCTATCCACCGGTTCACTCCCTAAATGCCCACAACAGCCAGGGTTAGGCCAGGCCGAAGCCAGGCACCAGGAACTCAATCCAGGTCACCCACACGGGTGGCAGAAACCCAAGCCATCATCTCCTGTTTCCCAAGGTGCTCATCAACAGAAAAATGGATTGGAATCTCAGAGGAACCAGGACTTGAACCAGGTGTTCAAGGGACGTGAGGTGGCTTAACCTGCTGCACCACACCTCCTGCCCCAGCAAAATTAGTTTTTTTTTTTTTTTTTAACAGGCAGAGTTAGACAGTGAGAGAGAGAGAGACAGAGAGAAAGGTCTTCCTTCCGTTGGTTCACCCCCCAAATGGCTTCTATGGCTGGCGTACTGCGCCGATCCGAAGCCAGGAGCCAGGTGCTTCCTCCTGGTCTCCCATGTGGGTGCAGGGGCCCAAGCACTTGGGCCATCCTCCACTGCCTTCCCGGGCCACAGCAGAGATCTGGACAGGAAGAGGAACAACCGGGTCAGAATCCGGCGCCCCTACTGGGACTAGAACCCGGTGTGCTGGCGCCACAGGTGGAGGATTAGCCTAGTGAGCTGCGGCGCCGGCCTGACAAAATGAGTTTTAATGATGCCCAACCAAAACTTACTTGTGAACTGAATATGTGAGGCTGTCCCCTTGTGAGGTCTCTGAATCATCTTCCAAGCACAGGGATTTGCAAAGGGTAAGGGCTACACAGGTGCCGGCTGGGAGGTCGGATGACCACAGTGATTACCCGGAACTTGGGCCAGGAAGTTACTGTTCAAAGAGAAGTATTTGATCGCCCACCGTGTTTAGAATTGTCAGCACACGGTGATACAAGGCAGGCCGGGGGCCGGGCGTTTGGCTGAGCAGTGAAGACTCCGCGGTCGGTCCCTGACTCCAGCTTCCTGCTATTGCACACCCTAGGGGGCAGTGGAGAAGGCTCAGGTAGCCTGGTTTCTGTCCCTGTGTTCCCAGCTCCTGGCTTTGACTGTGGCCCAGAAGCAGCTCCTGTGGGCCTGTGGGGAGGGAACCTGCAGGTGGGAGCTCTTGTTCTCGGTCTCTGTGTGTCTCCATCCCTCTGCCTCTCAAATAAATACATGTATTTTTAAAAGCAGACTGGGCTGAATTATTGCTGTCATACCATCTGTGGACAACGCAGGCCCCTCTGCAGCGTGGGCTCCGGCGGCCTGGCTCCCGCCGCAGGGGCTCAGGGTGGAGTTTGGCTGAGAATGGAGATCGGAGACGTGTGAGAGGTGCGCAGTACAGAACGCACGGAACGTGAGGCAGCTCTTGTCTCTCAGTCTCCATGACACCACGGGCTCCGGATCTCTTTCTCTCCGAGTATTCTGGGCTGGCTCCTCCTCTTCTCCTCCGACCCTGACAGCTGGAGGGCCTCTCAGGGCCCTGCCTTGGGTCTGCTTTTGGTGGATTCTTTCACCTGGCTCCCACCAGCACCCACGCTCCTTGTCCAAGCACACAGTCCTCCTCTCTCTCTCCTTTCCCACCCTCCCTGTGCCTTTGGGGGCCTGTGGTTTCATCTCGACATCTGCTGAGTAGCCAAGTCAGACAGAAGTTGTGGGTCACCTGGGCCTCTACTAGTCACGACTGGCATCTCAAGTGGGGGCCAGCCTTGTGGGGCGATGCCCTTAACCTGGGCTCATGTCAGAACTGAGTAGAGTTGGGAGCCAGTGCTGTAGTGTAGCAGGTAAAGCTGCTGCCTGCATCCCATATGGACACCAGTTTGAGTCCCGGCTGCTCCACTTCCGATCCAGCTCTCTACTATGGCCTGGGAAAGCAGTAGAAGATGGCCCAAGTCCTTGGGCCCCTGCATCCATGTGGGAGACCCAGAAGAAGCTCCTGGCTCCTGGCTTTGGATCGGCCCAGTTATTTGGGAAGTGAACTAGCAGATAAAAGACCTCTAATCCTCCGCCTTGTGGCGCCGGCACACCGGGTTGTAGTCCCGGTCAGGGTGCCGGATTCTGTCCTGGTTGCCCCTCTTCCAGGCCAGCTCTCTGCTATGGCCCGGGAGTGCAGTGGAGGATGGTGCAAGTGCTTGGGCCCTGCACCCCATGGGAGACCAGGATAAGTACCTGGCTCCTGCCATCGGATCAGCGCGGTGCGCTGGCCGCGGTGGCCATTGGAGGGTGAACCAACGGCAAAGGAAGACCTTTCTCTCTGTCTCTCACTGTCCACTCTGCCTGTCAAAAAAAAAAAAAAAAAAAAGACCTCTCTCTCTCTCTGCCTCTGCCTCTGTAATTCTGCCATTCAAATAAGTAAATAAATCTTAAAAAAAAATTGAACAGAGTTGTCGGGCACTGAGCTCAGGGGAACAATCTGCACTTCTGGTGCAGAAGTGTTCTCTGTGTGGAGTGTTGAGAACAGAGGAAGAGAAAATAGCTGGTTTTCTTCCCTGCTGTTGGCGAGCCTGCTCTGAGGTATGCCCACCCTTATATGGAAGCTCCTCTGCTTCGCCATCATCACCACCATCACCACCATCCCACCCCCGACACCGTCATCACACCACAATCACTAACTCACCATGATCATCACGGTCACTACTAGCACGAAATCATCTTCCTCTTCATCAACATCATCACCATCATCACCACTGCCACCACTAACATCACCACAAACACATGACCACCATCACCATCACTGCTAGCACAACCACCACCACCACCATCACCACCACCACCATCACCACTACCACCACCACCATCACCACCATCACCATCACCACCATCACCACCACCACCACCACCACCACCACCATCACCACCACCACCATCACCATCACCACCATCACCATCACTGCTAACACAACCACCACCACCACCACCACCACCATCACTACCACCACCACCACCATATCATCACCAACAGCACCATCACCACCACCATCACCATCACTACCACCACCACCACCATCACCACCACCACCACCATCACCATCATCATCACCATCACCACCATCACCACCACCACCATCATCACCACCATCACCACCACCATCACCACCACCACCACCACCATCACCACCACCACCACTATCACCACCACCACCACCATCACCACCACCACTATCACCACCACCATCATCATCATCACCACCAACACCACCACCATCACCACCACCACACCACCATCACCACCATCACCATCATCATCACCATCACCACCATCACCACCATCACCACCACCACCACCATCACCACCACCACCATCATCACCACCATCACCACCACCATCACCACCACCACCACCACCATCACCACCACCACTATCACCACCACCACCACCATCACCACCACCACTATCACCACCACCATCATCATCATCACCACCAACACCACCACCATCACCACCACTACCACCATCACCATCAACACCACCACCATCACCATCACCATCATCACCACCAGCACCACCACCACCACCATCTCCCACTATCAACTCCATCACTATCACCACCAATCCCTGGTGAACCCATCTTATAGACTACACTCCAGCAGCAATGAAGGGCATGGCATGTTCCTGTGAGAGGACACTGGCTCTTGGCTGAAGGTAACCACGTCCACCATGGCCTGAGAGGTCCAGGGACCACAGCCACAGTCCAGGGGTAAGACCAGAGCCTGGCACAACTCCTGGCTAAGTGCCCAGGCCACAGGATTGCCGTGTCACACACACTGAGAGGCACACTTGGCTCCCCCATGCAGTGTGGGGGCCAGGCCCAGCAGCAAGGCAGAGGAGCACTGGGCAGCTGAGAGCAGCACAGTGCCACCGTGCAGGTAAACACAGGGTCACCTTGCAGGAAGCATTGGGGAACCCCCTTCCATCGGGTACACCTGCCAGCTCCAGCACAGCACTCTGGCAAGGTGGCAGGTGTGACCATAGGTAACCCCTAAGGAGGCCACTGCGCAAGGACAGCAGAGGCTGCGGCTGCATCTGTGAACCCCACGCCAGCTCTGTACTCTCCAGCTGGGCTGCACCCTGCATCACCGGTCTGACACCAAGGCAGCAGGATGGAGAGAGAAGAGATGAGAACTGAAATGGGCCAGGTCGCTGTAGTAGCCACCAGAGCTGCACCGAGGGTTACCTGCCGTTGGTAGCTGAAGGGGCTGGCCACAGGAGGTACAGGTGGGGCTCATATGCTATCGACAGTCACCCAGATATTGCAGGAGCCCCCAGAACGCACGCCAGGGGGCAGATATTTGGGCAGCCCCAGCAGAGTCCACTGGGGGTCTCAGGCGGCCAGGGAGAAAGCAAGACGCTTGAAGTGCAGGTGGCAGAAGTGCTGTCGCCGGCAGCACCCAACGGGACACTGCGAGCTGCACACAGGCAAGGAGTGGCTTGAGCCACCTGCCACCCGCGGCCCCTGCCCTCTGCTGGGGCTGCCGTTAAGGGCCCGGGGGCTGGGAGGTAAGGCGGCCACGGAGCTGGGTGGGAAGAGGCACAAGGCCACGTCGAGTGACCAGGACTGGAGGCGGCCCGGCTTCCCTCGGGTCGCTCTCCTGCGCCGGTGGGGGAGGTGTTCCCGGTGGGTCCCACCCTGGGAGCTGTGGACAGGTCTCCTCCTCTCCCGGTGAGGGAAGCGGGAGGCTCCGGCTGTAGCTCCCTGCCGCCTCCTGGCGTTGCAGGAGGTGAACTTCACCGACCAAGGGAGCCGGGGCTCGGAGGTGGGTGCCAGTACCGGCCACAGCCACCTGGGGACACCCGAGCGCACGGAGAGGGCAGGCGAGGAAGGCGTCGTCTGAGGACTCCCCGAGACAGGGATCCATCCGTCCTGGAGACGACCCTGCGCTCGCCGCAAACTTGCCGCGCGCCCCCCAGAGCCCTGCGCTCCCAGAGCTCGGCCGACCCCTTCGCCTTCCGCCCTGGGGAGCGCATGCCCCTCACCTCCCAGCCTGGGGGGCGTGCGTCCTTGAAGAAGCGCCGGTACTGCAGGTGCAGACGCCTGCCCCGCCCCTCGGCGCCCCACCCGAGCCACGCCCCATATAGGCCACGCCCCCAGCGGCCACACACACCCCTCGGGCCCCCAGGCCTTTTGCTGCAGAGCGACTCCCAGCACCCGCTTCTCGCTCTAAGCGTCCCTCGCAGCTGGGACAGGGCAGCGGGGACTCCGAGCCCAGACGCCTTGTCTTCTAGAAGGATCTCCTCTTTCCCGGGGGCCGCTGGCTGAGTGAGGAAGCAGTCCGGGAGCCTGAGGCCGGAGAGCCCTGTCTGTGCTGCCAGGCGCGGGGAGTCAGAATTCGGGATGGGACTTCGCCTCGTGCTGCCGCGCGAGCCCGCTGCAAACTCCCGACGCTGTCACCGCAGCACACGCAGCTCTGGTGGCCGGCTGCTGTTGGCTCTGGCAAAGTGCCCAGCTCCTCGCAGAAAGGCAAATTACCTCGCCGGGAAAGCCCTCTGGACCAGAAAACTCACCCTAACCTAAGGAGGCTGCGGTTGCAAGGCCACGGGCCGCATTTGGCACCTGCTCCCTTGCAGCGTGTTCAACACGTCTGAGTCCGCTCACTCTGGCTGCCCTGGTGGATTTTTTTCATTTTCACTTCTGGCCCAGCCCTGCTTCCTCGAAAGGATAAGGTTACAACGGGGCGTGGCTGAACAGTTGCAATCCGCTTTACCACCAATGCTAGCCCGAGGCAACACTTAATTTTAGGAAACACAGTCGGTTCTCCCCTTGGGCTCAGCGGAAGAGGTTGGATCTGTAGACAAAGGCTAAAGAAAGCAGAGACACGTTCCAAAATTACTCCCTTTGCCAGGCCAGGATTGGGAGACTGACAGGCGAACCTCCCGTCTTTTTAGGCTATTTCTGTGCTAAGGATCAAGACACAGGGACCCTCATCATCATGCCGGCCAAAACTGGCCAGTTTGGGAAATTTAGCTGTTGTCTCTCTAATCCAGATTTGTGTTTGGAAGGCCAGATAAACAAGCTTAGTTTCAACTTGAATAACCACTAACACTCAATTTTGATTTTTTTTTAAAGCAGAAAGACAGAGATCTCCCATCTGCTGGTTCATTCCCCCGAATGCCCACAACAGCCAGGGCTGGGCCAGGCCAAGGCCAAGGAGCCAGAAACTCAATCCAGGAGCTCAGCCAGACGATGGCACCCTGTACTGTTTAGTGATGGCCCCAAGCTGTGTCTCCAGAGGATCTCAAGTGCAGCAAGCACTGTGCTTGGCAGACAGGAAGGACCCGAATGTGAGCCAGTGCGCATTTCTGCTGTCATCCCATTAAAACAGGAG